TCCAAAAAATTCTGCATTTTCATATTCTTTATCACGGACAGCTGGTCAACATCAAAGCAAGTTTTTTTTTTTTTTTTTACTTTTCTCTATAAAGAAAATAGTCCACACAACAGTTTGGTGCAATTTTGTATGCCATTTAAACATCACATGCTATACTGTTCCAGCTTGTTTTTAAGAGGAAAAAGCAGGTCATGAGTTTTCTGCACACAAGAGCAATTGCAGTTGCCCAGTACCTGGAATCATGAGAATGGATGAGGATATCAGCAATTAACATTTCCCAAAGCATTTATTTTTTCTTGGAGGCTATTTCTTTCATCTCTATGGCAAAGTCTTTCCACGTGCTCCAAGAACAAACTGTCTTCCAGAGCCCCAGTGTATATTTCGGCAAGTTCTGCATGCTGAATAAAGATGTACTAATGGTTGAAGGCTGTCAATGCAAAACTCGTCAGTGGTAAATAAACAACAAATATAAAATAATTACTGTAAGTAGCTATACTATCATTTGAAAAAAACCTGATAGAAAAAATGAAAAATTCAGGGCACAAATTAAAAAACTGCAACTTCTCAGGAAAAATGAGAATACCTTTCAAAGGTATAATGTTTTAAACAAGAATGCTGATATACTGAATCACAAACAAGCTTCAAGGGAAAAAAAAATTATTTCTGGGTGAAAGTTTTCAAGAAAAGATTTTTCTGCATTAAATTAATGACCCAAAAATGTTGCTTTTCTTTTTTCAGTATCTGAAAAAATAACCTCTCTGCTCAAGCAAAAAAAAAAAATTTAAAAAAATGAATCACCTAAATGATAGAATTGAGAATACCTAACTTGTATGTAGAGTGTCCTGTTATAACTCCACATAGGTATTACTTTTTCTTGTCGGCATTTAGGTCTGGAGACAGGATGCAGTAGGTCCAAATTATCATGAGGCCGGAGTTGCTGCGAAGGTTGCCACTGTGCAACATGGTCTCCAGCTGTCTGCTGAATCCAAGACGTGGTCCTCGGAAATGGCAATCATTGTCTCTGCCAGGTTCTTGAATCCCTTAAAAAAAACTATGATGCAAAGGCTCCAAGACTGGATATTCCCAGAACCATGGAAGTACCACAGTAGTGCAGAAATACACTTGTATCTGACATGCTGCTGACCAGGAAGAATCAGGAACACGAGTGGTATGCCAAGACAGACCATATCCACTAAACCGAGCTTTAAAAAAGTGCCTCTGGCAGACTTTTCAGTGACAAAACTCCAGCAGCACTTAAGGGGATAAGTAATGAGGATTGTCATAGCATGGTTTTATGACAGATTAAAGAACACCCCATCTTTTGAAAAAAACTCATAATTTTCTTTATTATCCAGTCTACCACTCCACACCTTTACTCTGACAAACTACAAGGAATTCAACTTCTCCATAACAGTGATTGTCATAATTAATGTAGTCATCTCCTTTTCATTCACTTTTCCCATTACCCTTTTACCTTGTTATTGCTGTTTTCCCCTTCCTCTCCCTCTTTGGCTCCTTGTAGATCTTTCAGAAATGACGCAGTCCTTAACAGATCTGTAGAATGACAGAAGTTGGCAATTCCATGTGCCAACGATCTGTCTGCAGCTGTTTCTTACAACATAACAAAGGAGTCACAATCACGCTTTAAAAAAAATATGGTCAAAATAAAGAAGAACATAATAAAAGATTTAGACATATTTTAGACAGTAATAAGCTTCAGGATAAAATCTCCTGCTAGCACTGTGACGATGGTGCAGAGAGAATAGTAAAGCATTGCCGTCTGGCTTGGTATTTCGAACTGGATTCAATACGAGACACTGCAGTCCCCAGCAGCACCTTGGGGAATATGGGACAACTATTAAGCTGCATACAGTACAAAACCATTTTCTCATCTCACCATCACTACCTTTAAATTCAAATTATTCTTCGTATCTTCTTTCCAAGGTATCACAGTAAGCACTGGGTCATTCCATGCTTGCTTGAGGATTTTGAAAAATAGCAGTTAATAAGCCTGGAGGATATAAAAACATTTTAATGAGATCTACTTGGAAAGGGAAGGACAATCTGCAATATTGTAATTATACTTAAAGTGATGCTTTCATGATCCACTATAAAACTGAATCATTAATTAATTTTCTCTGTGATACCAAAAAGCATTGTTTTCTTATTTGAATTTGGGATACAAGGAAGAAAAGTGTCTTTGGTTACAAACAAGCTTTGTGTTTTCACGCTAGAGCACATTTCCCTCATTTTCACTGTCTGCTTCAGGCACGACAGAGATGGCTTATGTTGCTATAGCTCAAGGGATAGAGGGTGATATTTGTCCCAGTGGTAAGCAGTCTACATTTGCAATAAAGATGATGCTTAAGAACACAAAACCCAACCCTTATATTTGTGGTTTTGTCTGTAAAACCTCAGCTACTAAAATCCGAACAGCCAGGCATATCTGTTCCCAGATAAAACACAGCCCACACAATCCAGTTCGGTGGCAAGCCATAGTAGATGAACAAGCACCATAGAGCTGCTATCTCTGCAAGTATCAGATCAGGACAGACTAACCAAATTGAATATGTGGGAGCTGAGAGAGAAAACCTCTAGCCTTACCCATGGTTCCTACTCTTGCAGTAGTTCTGCAGAAGACAATAAAGGAGGAAAGCAAAACTGTTTGATGAGGAAGATGAAAATGACTACCACTGTATCCTTCTCAACACCTTCCAGCAACCTCAGTCAGATACAGAGGAAAAGAGCAGATCTATGATGATACACAGGAATGTCACAGCCTGTTCTTTCTCACCCTTGCATACCTGCATCAGTCCCTATGGAAATTGTGGTGACTACCGCCCTAGACTCCAACGTCCTTGGGTCCTCAGCTCCAGCACTGCCCATGCACAAAACCCAAGGCCTGCTGACACAAGAACGCTGTCACACAAGGACTCATGATGTGGCTGCTGCCAGGCTGCCACCACCACCCACTGGCACAACCAGATGGACCCCACAGAAGAGGGCAGGGGCCTGTGCCAGGCTGCAGAGCAAGAAGAATCAGCCCTGTGACTCCACTAACAAACCAAAGCTCAACTGCAGCCACTACAGTGCTACATAAAAACTGGTGCTGCTTAATGCAATCCTTTTGACACCAAAGGTAAGGAAAGAAATTGCTGGTGTAATAGGAATGAAGACTAATTGCTCATCATTTTGAACAGGCTTCTTTTTGAAACGACCCTTGGTGAAAGCTAAAGAAAATAGAAAAAGAAAGGAAAAACCAGGAGATAAGCAAACGCCAGTTAGTCAGTCACTGGAAGCAAGGAATGGGCACTCCATATCATCTTCTTTTTCTCAAGAAGACTTTTATACATTGTTTCAGTACCCTTTACCTGGGAAGTGAACGTTAAAAATATTACATTTAGAAATCACAGTATGCTTATTAGCAGAAAATTATATAACAATAAAAAATTACTTAAACCACCATTAAAATTTACTGATTCTATCCAGAAAATTAAGACTTCCCAAGCAGTTCCCCAAACTAGGATCAAATGGTACAGTCCCAAACTAATTAAATAGTACAAAATCCTGTTTCCCTGACATGATTTATCAGTTTAGTAATCTGACCATCATAGGATCGTTAAGAAAGTCAAGGAAAAAATAAAAATCTTTTGTTATTCCAGCAAGAGCAACTACTGCGTGCAAAGGCATGCTTCACACCTGATCAGTAACTTCTTAACAACAGAGAGCTCTGGCACATGAACAGAAAGATGCAGAAAAGTCAAAACTCTAATTAGATCTAATAAAGCATATAATAGAATGTGCTATAGATTTAAGAGCTCTTTCTTCAAATATTGCTGTTCTTTAAATGCAAGCTCTTGACAGTACTGAATTGTTCAACAGTACAACTTCATTACATGTTTTAGTGATATACTTCGCTTCTGAAATCCAAGGACTCCAGGTGAACAAAATTTATGTGCAGAAGTTTGTTGTTGGGTTTGAAAATGAATTCATTCATTAGTATTTCAGAAATATTTTACACTGGAAAATAGTGTCTAATCACAGAAAACACAACTTCTTAGTGACAAAGTATTTCAGACATACAGATCAGTGTCACATACGTTCTTCGGTTATATTAATAACATTCAACATAAAAGTTGTCTTCAAGTGAACTTACAAACTACACAACAGTCTTCTCCATTAGGTAAAAAAAAAAAAACAAAACATCATCTTTTGCATACTGTTGTCTTCTTAAGAGTCAGAATAGAAAAACTTTAGACCTTCTGCAAGCTGCGTGTTACTTTATCCTACCACACACAAGAGAAACAGCATGGAAACAAGAATTGTAAGGTAATGGGTTTATACCTGCATGTACAGTCTCCGGACCCTTGAGGGGAACACAGATCAGTAAAATCTCACTACTCAGAAAGCATTCAGTTATATCTGTTTTCAAAAAAAAAGTTCTGTTTAAGTTGAGTGTGCATCCAATAATGGAAAAAGTCTGGACAGAACAGGTAGGAAGCTCAAGCCACTATTAGAATATGAAGGATTAAACTGCTGCAGAAATTTGAAACATAAATTGCTCAACAGTGCTTATTTACAAGGTTATTATTCAAAAGGTCACTGACCATTGAAATTCAATTCACAAACCAGTCTCTTTTTACAGGTCTTAATCCTATAAACACTGCTATTCTTGACCACTGACTGCCATACTAAGAAGATACAACCTTTAATATCAAAACTAACTTTATACTGTTTTTTCCATTCAACTGTAATGAGGAGCATTGCTCACTTGATGACTTTGTCAGCTTCAGCAAATTTAAAATTATGTATTTTGTTAAAACATAGCCTTAATTCCTAAAGCTAACAAGTGGCTAAAAAAAATTCCTAAGGAACAAACATGGTGATGCAGAGCTGTTATCCAGAACAATCTAAAACAGTTTTTGAGGACTCAGCAAACAAATAATAGGACAATTAACATATTTCATGCTGTTAAATTTAGCTAAGACTTATATCGTCTTCTTCAGCATCAAATATTTCCCATGTTTCAGCATCTTACGAAAACAAGAAGCCATGGGATTATAAGAAAGGCTCGTTTAATATGTTTTACAGAGACTTAGTTATCAAGAACGTTACTAACTAGAAGATCTCCAAATCATGAGCATTATCAATTTCAATAGTATCTTCAGGTTCCATCTTTGCCTCATGATGCCCCTCCTGTAGATCATCCAGGGAAGCTAGAGCCTCATTCGTATCACTAGCGAAAGTCTCACGAGACGCATCATCATATTCTTGCAGGTTAAGCCCTTTAATGGCTTTTTTCATCTTCTTTCCTAGAACTTGTATTCTCCTCTTCTTAGCAGCTTTTCTGTTTTCATACTCCTTTTGGTTTTCCAGATAGAATATTTCCTTGAAAGAAAACAAACAAACAAAAAAGTCTGGCATATTCATTTACTAGTATTTCCTAAAGAAAATATAAAGAAGTAAAAAAAAATAAATATTACAAGTACTGTTCAATAACATTTAACTAAGATACTTATCATTGACAATACAAGTATGAAGATAGACTGCAGTTACGGAAAACGCCCCATAAATAATTTTATAACATAATTTCTCAGCAATCTCAAAGTATATGTAAATAAGTATCACTAAATTTTCATTTCAACTTTGCTCATGATACAAAACTGGGAGGAATGGGTGGTAGACCAGAGGGTTGTGCTACCATACAGAGGGGACCTGTAGAGAAAATATGATGAAAGGTTATATGGCAGCTTGAGAAAACTTTCATCCACAATTGAAATTTGGGTCCAGATATCATGATCTTTACTGTCAAACATTTGTGAACCACATTAACATCTTCTCAAGTGCAAAATACGACTGTTACAAGTTTCCCCCTATACAAGACAACTTGCAAATGCCCTGAAACAAACGGTGAGAGATGAAAGGGAGGAGGCGGCCCTCCAAGCCTCACTGAGGAATATCTCAAACACTCGCAAGTACCTTGAAATACAGCTATAGCCACCGGGTGAACAATGCAGGCTTTATGCTCAAAGAACTGATAAGGCTGACACCTGCTCACCCAGGTGGGAAAGAAACTCGCCTGAATCTGGAGGAGGGAAACAGGACAGCACTGCTTTTCGTTGGCAAGGACAAGATAACAAGAGTCTGTGTAGTCCTACACAGTCCCATTGGGAAATGACCTTTGCCTCATTATCTGCGAAATGCATATTAAAGTTGACACCCTGCGTATGCTAATGAAGATTACTGAGATCATGCTAAACATATATGACTATAGCATGTGTCTCTCCAACCAGATCATGTTACACGTCACCTGTGGGGGAGGAGAAACCTGAGCACCATAACAGTGGGGTGGGTCGTACTGATACTGCAACCATAAAAGGGGAAAATAAGTACCACAAAGGGGGATCCGCAGAGGAGCGCTCCTATGAACCAGAGACCCCTACTGGCTGGATCAACGCTGGAACCAGGACCAGTGATCTCTTTATCTCTCTCTCTTACTCTGTCTTTTCTTCTCTATCCCTCTCTTTCTTTTTTCTTTAAAAGTTATTAAGTAAGTAATGCAAGGCATACCTTACTCGCCATAATTCACTGTGTATCTCTTGCTAAGTTCCACCTGCCGTAATATGTTATATACCTAAGCAATTATTGTGGACCTAGTTAAGACATGTATTAATCACTGTGGCAATCTAATAAATGTTTTTGTATGGACCTTGAGAGTTGTCTCACCTTAGTCCACACCACCAGGGACTTGCAAATCTGAGTCACTCCTTCCCCTCTCTTCTGAGTGGGATGTGACACCCCCATATTTCAAGGGGGAGAATATCATGTAGCAGAGCTAAATGCTGCTACATGCCTTTCGTTCCCTGCTTATTTTTTAAAAAACATAAATTGTCTGCAGAAAAAATTAATGCTTTTTTTCCTCCCTGAAGGCTGCAAGTCAAGAGCCAAGGATATGCAAACCCGTGACAGTTGTAAACATGACAATCTCCATGATGACAGGATTACACATACTTTTCGCACAGGTTTGTATGACAAATGATGTCTTGCATCATCAATCAAATTCATTGAGTGAAAACTGCTGCATCATTAAACACTTCCCAGTATCAGCAAGAGAAGAATGAGACACACAATTACAAGGGCATAGAAGAAGGGTAGAAGAGCAATTTTTTTGAAGAGGGGTAGAAAAGCAATTTTTTTAATTTTGTAATGGGGTAAAGTGACCAAACTTGCAACTTTGTAACCACTGTAAGCTATGAAAGCTTGTTTGTTTGTTTTTAAACATAAACCAGACAATCACAATTTATGTTGATTTGTTTCCTTGAAACCCCATACGAGATCCTAGTATGGTTAATGGAGTGAGCTGTAGCCACCTACAAGCAAAATAAATGAGTTTCTTTTAACAAAATAACAAAGCAGCAAATAACATGCAAAACCCAAAGTTGTTTAAATTTATGGAAGAAAATATTACCTCAGCCTATTTCATACCCTCAAAGGAAAAGCAATATAATATTTACAACCTGACAAAACTGATTTGGTGAGCACCACAGATGAGGCCAGGGAACAATTCAGGCTAGGTTCAAACCAGTATCTGACTTTATGGGAAATACTGCCTGGTGCTACAGCTGGAGCTATATAGGACAAATATATTCTATTAAGAGAGCACCATTCAACCCATACACAGTGACGCAGAGCTCCAAAGGGAGAAATACAACTGCAGATAACATTGCTGTAAGGTATATACAAATTAAGGAACATCCAGTGGTTATCTCTTCACTCTACAGTCTCATAATCCTCAATGGGTTTTTGTGACTGGCAATATGTAAAAAGTGTTATCTCTACCTAGGGTGAATAGCAATTAATCAATTTTTTTGTGGGTTCTTTAGTTATATTTTGAATGTGAAAAGCTGGTTTCTTTAGAATATAGAGTTATACTTGCTAGAATTTATAAGAGACTATCAATCATAACATTTGTAGTAAAAAAAAACGACTTATTTTGGACAATCATTTGCCTCCTTGACAATTTTACCTTGATTTGTTCTTCTTTGATGCTAGGTGTGTTCTTCAGCAGGTTTAAATAAACGCCCCCTGGTGTTCTTCTCCTAGTTCCATTCTTAATAGGGAAAGTAAATTAGTAATAGCAAGCTTAATATGTAAGTGTTGACAAAATAGCGTCTAAGACAATGCTTTGTATTGAGATAGAATTAAAAAAAATAAGTTCTGCTGTGTTAGGTAAAGAAACAAAACACAAATAGTATTCTAACTACTCTCACAACTATCTGCATAACGTATACGCTAGGTTAAATATTCTTAACATAGTCCCAGCAAAATGTCAAAAATTAATTTCACAAAATTATGTACATCTTGGTTTTTTTAATTGTGCTCAGCAGTTCTACAATTTATTTGCACATCTGCAGGATTTTGCATTTCTGCCTAACGCATACAAAACATAACATGCACTTTAACGTTTCCCCCCACAACACAGTAGTTCCATGCTTCAAGTTTTCAGTGTAACAGCAGTCATGCCATGTACCATACTGAAGCATGAAGGGACCCAGCTTCGAAACCTCTATAAATCATAAGCACTAATTATCACACTATTAATCAATTACCGTTCATAGCATATCAAGTTGAACTGTTACTCCAGTGCTCCGGTATTTATTAGATGTGACACTTTTCTGCTAAATAACTAAGTAAAATACAATCCCAAAGTTCTATGAATGGAGAAGGTAAATTTTTAAATATATTCTTGAAACAGCAGATGCCACATGCTTTTATCATCCTATCAACACAAAATCCCAACCAAGAAAAACACTATGATCTGCCTTTTGAATGACATACTCTGATATACAGCCAAAGGAACCTGCACCACCAGGAGTTGTGTCCTTTCATCTCCTTGGTAAACACTTTAATAAGTACTTTAATCTTTCAAGACAATAGACTGCTTCTAAGACAAGTTGCTAGATGGACAGTTGTTGCTTTTGGAGGGGGTGAGGGGGAGGGGTTTACTTCTTTGTTCTGTTTTTGGTTTGTGGTTTGTTTGTGTTTTTTTTTAATTCCTCCTCACCCTCTTTTTTCCCCCCTCCTCTCTACTTCCAGTGATGGAACTTAAAAGATGTAATTTATAAACAAATGCCTCAAAGTACTTACTAGTTCCCTTCCACTTTTTTTTCCTTCAAAACTTTTGCACTGAGGCTCATTATTTAATAAAAACAAAAACATACTGAGAAATTAATAACCTAACCGTTAAGTACAAGACTTTTACCATGATTTATAACAGAAATCAGTACTCAGTTTTACTCTACTGATACAACAGCCAATGGTTCTCTAATAGATTCCCTTTTGAAAGTTACTCTTCAAATGTGACATTAGGAATGCTCACTACTGAGTATGCTGACCTCTGATGGCATGCTGATTAACCCAGTAGAACGGTCAGTGCTGTCAAGCATCCACCTGACTTCCTGAAGAAACATGCCAGAGGCTTCACCTGGATTCTAACATTACAAGCTTTTATTCAAGCTTTAGAATCCTTCACTCTTAGGTCTGTCAGGGAAAGACAGAGGCACAGAGTAACAGCTACAATGTTATCACTGCAAATCAGATACTTATCTCAGTACAAAAAGTTGGGGCATTTTCCAGGTTTATTAATCTCACTGTTTACTCAAATCCTGCTGGAAGGTTACATTAGTTTCATGGCAAGAGAAAGCTATGAAACTCTGGGAGAACCTATCCAATGCGAAGCTGTGCCACAGTACTACGTAAATATTCTACACATAAAAATTCGTCTGTGCCCCCTGCCCCACAATATCACATTTTTCTTACCACTATAAACAGTCCACCATTTTGTTCCACTTCAGCTGTTTCCATAAGCAATTCGATAGCTTTTCTTTTCCCAATTATTTTCACTACTCGGGCAATTAAATCTTTCTTCGGCTCACAAAGCCTGAGAGGAAGAAAAAAAAAAAAAAGCGCATTTATTGTCAGTATAATTTCGCATGTAAAATTGACCACGGAATTTCCATAATGCATAATTCATTCTGTGGAACATAAAACTGTGCTAAAATTAAGGAGTCTATAGATTTAAGTGTATTTCAATGGCTTCCTGAATCAGATTTCAAAATACTGAGCTTTTGAGGGCTTTCGTTCTAAAGCATGCATTTTTAAAACTTGGTTCCATGAAAATGCATTGACTGATTATTTTTCTTCTATTGATGTGTGAAGGATTAAACCTAATAATAAACTGCAAAGACCTGTATAAATCTCTGAAAATAAAGTAGAAAAATCTGCTGTGCATTTAACAGTTACAGCACCTTTTACAGTTAAATCAACAATTATTTGCAGACAACTGTAAGTGTAAAAGTTCTCCTGTATCATGTGCCATTCAAACCTACATAATAAAAGAAACCAGTCTGTTGACTAATCCATGATAATCTATAAAATGCAAACAAGAAAAAAAAATGCAATATTACTGAGTTAAATTGTATTCTTCTGTTATAACAACGTCCTCAAACAGAAATTTTCATTGTCAGCGTGCATGAAGGGAGAGTATTATATAGCATCAACTCACTGTGCCAAAGTACATACTCCTATTGAAAAGTGTCGTAAGCTCACAAATCAGTACCACTTGTCCAGAGCAAGAGTCGCGACGCTAAATTCTCATTTTTTAATGACAAAGCTTCTCATCAAGCACAATCCCAAACACTACAGGTCAGTGGTTTTACACTTTGGGGACCAACAGACCACCATCATTACCAAAATTTCTGTAAGACCACCGTCTAGCATAATTGCTCCAAGAGGCATTACTATGCTATAAAGTTGCATACGTTACAATGACTGCATAGTAGAAAGTATCTGACAACAGATGTGAACAACTATTTAGAAGAACCAGGCTAGCTTCAACTGCTTCAGTTGTGTGACTGAAGTTAACTGAAATTAAATGTTAAAACTCACATTTGAGTGACTATTGTCCTAATCATGAAAAGGATTACCCAACGCGCTTAACTTTATACTGAGTTCAATGAATGATAAGGCACCAGAAGGTAAATGCTTTCTTAAACATTTATAGCATGTTCCAAATTGTGAATTATTGGAAGAGATGAAAATGTTTCTCAACGATGCAGAGAACTTTAAAATAACCAGGATTCCTTAAAGAGCTGGTTAAATAGACCTGTTAGTGGCAGCTTAAACAGTCAAATCCCCACTCAGTGTTCATTCTGGCCCTGCACAATCCTCCTGTATGCATGCTTTAACAAGCAGCTGTGCACTGCAACAGGAACTGAACAAGGTAAAGGGCAAAAAATGGAACAAGATGGTCAGAAAAACTCTCCGATTTCAGTTCACCATGTCGGCCAGCACAACAAAAGGTTATGCATGTAGGCACAGATGGCACAGCACAGATCAACCATCAGTGCTGCCTGTGATGTGTATAACCACAATCCTACTGATGCAGTTCAGCGCTACTACTACTATAAACAATTAGAAAAAAAGAGGCTTCTGCCCTATTTTGATGAAGCTCAATAAAACAAAGAAAAGTTTATTACAAGAGAAACGCTCAAATTTTTCAAATTCCTAAGTGAGAAGCTACTGAGAACTGGTAACAGCAGTAATAACAGTCTAATTGCCGTACTTCAGCATCTGGCAATACTAAGTATCACATATAAGAAATCAATGATCTATAAACCCAGGTTTTATTTAAACATCAAGCTAACCATCAGTAAGTCTTGTAACTGTTGTTCCCTATTTAACATCATCTTCTTCCTTTGCACCACTGAAAAAGGATTGTGGCAGCTTAAGTCAATTTAATGACTACGGCCGTGTGCCCTCCCTCACACCATCAGTCCAATGCTGCCAGTGCCAACTCAAATGAAATTGTGCACCAAATTGGTTCAGGAAACAAATCTGTCTGCAAACCAAGTCTTTAAAAAAAAGCAACAGGCTTTTGGACAGATAAGTTTTCTGACTCAGCTCAGTGTACAATAACTAAATTAGCAGGATTGTGAAAACAATTGGATGATGGAAAGTGTGCTGTAGGCTGGAGCCTGGAAACCCCAACGCTGGCTTCCATAAATTAGCACAGAACTGCAGCTCAGTTTCAAAACACAGGAAGAGGCATGGCTTGATTTCAGTGCTGGTGTCTAACCTTGGCACAGCCCCTGGTTATGACAGTAGCAACATGTCTTCTTCAAACAAGCATGTTTCACATAAAGAACATGTGCATTTCAGAAGCTGTGCTCTCCAAAACACTGCACAGTCCAGTTTCAAAGATTTATAACTTAGCCAGATTTTCATGGTGACCACAGCAGGCGTTCATTGGTGTTCAGCTCCCAACACGCACCTTTACTCATGCAGTATTTCCTAACAAAGCCATTACTAAATCTGTATCATGATAAACAGTCTTTTTCCTGGCCATTGTACAACAAAACATTTTGGTGGATTTTTTAAAAAAATAAATTTGACCGTATTACTTCATGTGCCTACAAGACACCAGCCATAATGCTGCATTTTAATCCCAGGATTTTGGAAATACACACAAGGCAGTCGTGCTTTTTGTAACCTGGTATGACATCTTACATATTTAGCAGTAAGAAAGCTCCACTCCCACCCCCCCGCCTTCTTTTCCATCAACAGTTTACCAATACTTATGGAAGTGAAGATACACTGCTGTTAAACTCACCGATAAGCAATTTCATCTGCCACTTTTTCCTCTGAGTCTTCTTCTGTTATCTCATACCTTCCCTTATATTTCATTTCTTGTCTTTCACCCAGTCTATCTTTTACAGGCCGCTTGCGTTTGAGAAAGCCTTGTCCATTTTCTTCTTCTGCTGACAGTGTTTTCTTGTCATCATGCATGTATTCATCCAGTTCTTTATCTAAAGTCTCTGCCTCCTTTTGCTGAGCTTCCTTCATCAGCTTTTTAGCCAATAAATAATTGTAAGTCTCAGACTGCCTGCTTCTGTCAATACTACCTTCCATGCCTAGAATCCCAAGTTCAGTAGCCACCGCATCCTGATTCTGCTCCTGGAGCACCACACCCCAGATGTTGTTCACCTTCTTGCCACCTAGAGCAGTTTGGTTTTGGTGGCTCTGGCTAAGCTGAAAAGGCTCAGATTTAGCGGGAGAAAAGCTGAAACATTTCTGTCGTTTTCGTTTCCACAGACAGCTGTCATCATCAGATTCAGAAAAGCTTTCGTCACTTGAATCCACACTTTTGGTTGTCCGATAAGGAACACTTGGTGCACACAATGAAATGCTGCTCTGGAATGGTCTGCCTGAATCATTGACATCATGTGATTTCTGAAATGAAAAAGTAAGTGTCTGTTAATTAAATTACTCTTCTAAATTAAAAGAGCTATCAAGTCACGCCAAAGAGCTGATTAGCTAGTAAACTTAGTTCTTCTGACTCATGTGACTGTTTGGGCGCTCCTCTATGGGCATCTTTTGGACTACAGCTGATAGGAGCATCCTACGAAACTTCTGTATTTTGAATGTCTGCACATGACAGACAGCATGGCTGCTACTGAAAACACTTATCAGGAGTCAATAATCTACTTAACATCATCTTTGTTGAATGAAATAAAAATTATTACAAGACTCGAAAAGCTATCAAAATTTCCAAATCAGACAAGGACACAACATGCACAGCAGTTATAAGAAGGTTAAAAAACCAAACCACCACAGCAACTTGCCAGAAACTTTTTTTAAACAGCAGAGAAATTAATATCCTCTCTGGAGTCTGAAAGGGGTCAAGACTAGTGATCTCCAACCACAACAGTGTTCCCAGAGACTCAAGCAAGAATTAAAAATGACCAAAAACCTCCATACCAAACCCCTAAAACTTGGATGCTGCTTGGACTTTGAGAAACTAACAGTGTATTGTGATCCTGGTTCAAACAGGACAGCACATAACCAGCTGGGGGCAGTAGTACCTTACAGAACTGGGGTTTTCTTCCTTCAAACCAACGTGACACCAGACTTAGTATGGCTTCTTATTATTTAGGACAAAAAACTTAGTTTTCAACATACTTTACATAAAAAGTCTCATAGCTATAAAAATATTCAAGAAACAGTTTCCCCATACACCTGACAGATAAACTAAAATATGAAAGTCTAATCTGCATAACCTACAAAAGCACCATGGGTACAAAACCTACCTACATAACCTACAAAACACCAAAAAGTCCTCAAATCTGCATAACCTACAAAAGCACCATGGGTAACATACCCAGAATTGCTATTCCCAATTGCTGAAGATTTTTGGCCACACTGCCTGTGCTGGTCTACGATAAGCATTTTTCTTACTCATAATTCCAGTTTTCCCCAGCTGATTTACTATCACAATGTTATATGCTAGCCTGTGACCTTTAAAAATAAGATCTCTTCCTTCAGTTTCAAATGGAATAACAATTCTTCTTTAACCTTACTGTTTCCACCAACATTATGGCACCATTTCTTCTTCCTCCTATTGGCAAACAGAAAACAGAAGCTTTCAACTTATTTTGTCATGTTCTGTAAACGATGTCTCTCGCCTTTAACTTACAATGTATTCCATAACACAAAATATTAACAACTCCCTAAGTTTTTTTAAACCCTCATGTCCGTAATAATTTATTTTCTGCTGCACATCCCAGAACTATACTGCAAATAAATCAAAATAACTAAAGAAAATAATAATACTTATGCATAAAGTGCCATACACTGGTTTATCTTATTTTTGAAATCTTTTCCTATCCACACATCACCATAAACCCCTCATAAACTTCACAACGCGCTCCAACGTGAAAACAACACGAGGCACTTGGAAACAAACACCACCTCTTCAGGGATTCACGGATGCGAAAGAATTGTGAAGTCAAGGGAAAGGCGTAATGGCCCCTCATTACTTCCACACGTTTACACCACGGCTCCTTTCTCGAAGCGCCCAGCGGTGCCGGTCAGCCCTCACTCCCCTTCGCTCACCAAACCCAACGCCCAGCGACAACAAAAGCCGCCCCGGCCCCGCCACAGCACGCGGTTTCTCCACATGAACGGGCACCGGAGGAACAAGCCGGCTGCCGGGCCCAAGGCAAGCAATCACTCCCGGGGAAGGCCCCCCTGGTCCGCC